TTTTTGCTTTAGGATCCCAAAATTGCTTGGAATGTTGGACAACCAGTAGTTTATGTGAAAAGATTTGAGATGGTCATTTTTTCCCTTTGGAATAATAACATGGACATGAGCTTTGTTCATAATATTCAAAATCTAAATGATTAACGTTATGGAGGATGCATGGTGGAAGACAACATTAAGATTCAGAACTGACTTGGAATGTTGGACAACCAGTAGTTTATCTGAGAAAGTATGAGGTGGTCGTTTTTCACCTTGGAATAACATAACATCATCACCAGCTTTGCTCAAAATGTTCCAAATCTAAAGTAATGCTTCATTGATTAACATGATTGAGAATGCATGTGTTAAGAAAAGAAAATACTTGGAATGCAACCAATAGTTTATCCGAGAAAGTTGGAGGTGGGTGTTTTTCGTGTTGTTTCCTCGTCACAAACAGACCTGGAGTTGTGTTTTGTTTCATTCACACATGTTTAACACACAAATCTTGCATATTTATAGGCTGAGTTATTCTCGCAAATAGAAAACGCTGTGTTTTTAAAGACTTGGAACGTTGGGCAACCAAGAGTTTATCTGGGAAAGTTTTGAGGCGGTCGTTTTTCGCGTTGGAACGACATAAAAACATTAACACCAACTTTGTTCAAAATATTCCAAATCCAAATGATTAGCATGATTGAGGATGCATGGTGGAAGACTAGGAATGTTTGCTTTAAGATGCCAAAATTACTTGCAACGTGGGACAAGCAGTAGTTTATCTGGGAAACGTTGAGGTGGTGGGTTTTTGCCTTTCGCTTTTGCCACTACATAAGAAGAGCTTTGTCTAAAATCTTCTAAATCTAGTCATAAATCTTAAGTTAATTTAAACCATCTTCTCTTGTCTATCAAAATATAAATATATCATTGCATTTTGCCCTCTAGGCCTACACAAAAAACCCATTAAAAGTCTTTATCTAGAAAAGAAGTAGCCCCCCAAACCCCAGTCCAGTCCAGAGTTGCCTCCGGGCACAGTACAGTGATGGAAAGCCAAGAAGAGGGTCTCCATCTCAGGCTGGAATTCCTGGGAGACCTCCTGGAGGGACGGCTGCTGCTGGTGGTTAAGTACAAAAGAGGCCCTTCAGATTTAAGTGGAGCTGTTTTGGGAGGGCTACTCCAATAAGCCCCCCTCGGAGAACCTCACGTCCCTTAATAAAGACATATAGGCCCACTCAGCCTTGGCCTTCAGGCTGCCCCATTACTGCAGTAATCCGGTTAGAAATTAACCCAGGGCAAGAGCTAATCAAGTTTAATTAGAATTTGTTACATGATTCCAAGTTCTAACAGAAGCCAGAAGTAACACAATACTGACTCAACCCAGTACTGCTCAAAAGAGTTGAAGTACACTACTCCTACTACTAAAGGGAAATCTGTTTATGAATACTTAAGTGTTAATTCTATAGTTACAAATCTTGGTTCTAGTCATTGTAGTACCGTAATCAATTAAGTAATATTTTAGTTTTCATTAAAATGTTTAAAAGTTTAAAGGTGCATTGTGTAACTGTTTTGGTTTAGAGGTCGTCACCTGGTTGTTTTTATAGATATATCATTGCTTGGTATGACATGAAACAGCTCTACCTTACGTTTATTTAATTACACATGGTTTTACATCTTAAAAATACCTAGAAAAGCAGGCATTCTGACTGTGAGAAGGGTACATCTGACCTGTTACTTGGTCTGTTTTAGTCTCTATGAAGATAGAAATGTTTAAAGGGACAGTCCAGAATTTTGCACATAGGGCCTCATGTCCTAGTGAGCCAGAGTGTTGGAGACGTGTGGAGACACTTTTTTAAATATTCCGTCCAGTCCTTGTATTTACAGAGGTCGCTGGTGCTAGACTAGTGCATGTCAATGACCATAGTTATCCTGCCACTAAAAACAGTCTTACCCACTCCACAAAACACTCAAAGCAAATATATTATTACACCAGACTATCGATGTGAATGTCTGTGTTGATAGAATAATGCTTGAAATAAAACTAACCTTGCATCGCTTGAATCGTCGCATGTTGAGGGACTATTTTCTCAGCAGCGGAATTTATTTTCTCAGCAGCTGTGGAATTTTACTTTGCCGGTAAGAAAGGTGCTAGGTGATATCAGCCCGTCGCTGTCAAGGTTTCTATCAGGAAGTACAACTCGCTGTTGCTACTCAGACATAAATCCTTCAAATGCAAGGTTGGTTTTACTTCATCCATTAGAATACGAACTGAAAAGTTACGACTTTAAGAATTACAATCACGAAATGAAATGAAACGGTTACGCTTTCTTCATTACGAATACAAATTCACAGACATGAATTTACAGTCATCATTTCACAGGCTTTATTTACTGAGCAGAAGAAACACTGATTGAGATGCCACAGACTAAACCAGGACTAAACCAGGACTAAGCCAGGACTAACCTAGGACTGATTCCAGTACTAAACCAGGACTAAACGAGGATTGACAAGAACTATACCAGGACTAAGGCAGGATTGACCCAGGACTAAACCAGGACTAAGCCAGGACTAAGCCAGGACTAACCTAGGACTGATTCCAGGACTAAACCAGGACTAAACTAGGACTAAACCAGGACTAACCTACAGTAGGACTGATTCCAGGACTAAACCAGGACTAAACCAAGACTAAGCCAGGACTAACCTAGGACTAAACCAGGACTAAGCCAGGATTGACCCAGGACTAAACCAGGACTAAGGCAGGACTGACCTAGGACTGATTCCAGGACTAAACCAGGACTAAACTAGGACTAAACCAGGACTGAACCAGGACTAACTGTCGGGATGGGCTCGGACTCTCAGCGGTGACCGTGTAGAGCTCCGTGCTCCAGAGGTAAACGCAGCCGTTGCCCGATCGCACTTTGTGGACACCCTGCTCCACGAGCTCGGGGTTCTCTCTCTCTCTCGAGCCCAAGATTAGTCCTGGTGTAGTCTTGGTTTAGTTCTGATTTAGTCCTGACTCCCCGTGTGTAATTACTACCCGCCCGCATACCGGTACTACCTGCCCGATTCAGCAACTATTTGCCCGAACCCGCGGGACTCTGGTCTAGCACCAGCGACCTCTGCAAATACAAGGACTGGATGCAATATTTTTAAAAAGTGTCTCCACACGTCTCCAACACTCTGGCCAACTAGGAATGTCCAAAATTCCAGACTGTCCCTTTAATACCATACTGAGAAACCAGACAAAACACTCTGAAACCAGTGGATGTATAAAATGGTTGTTCTTTTAACTCTTATCTCTAGCTCCGTTATCTCTTCTGTGATTCCAGTTTGGGTCTCTCCCTTGTTCCTCTTACTGTAGTCTTGTCGTGCTCATGGTCACATTGTTTATAGTGGACGCTCACATGACTTACTGATAAAGTCCCCTATAGCGCGTAAATATAGCAGGCAGACTAGTCTAAACAAAATACACGATATTTTAAGAGTCCTAATCACATAGCTGCCCACACTGAGACTGAGACAGACCACCTCAGGCTGAAAGCAGTGATTAAGAAACACAGAAGAGGTTACACACTTCATTTACACTTTCAACATTCCTGGTTCATTTAGTTTGCTGAGAATTTAGATGAATTTATAATGGCCATCTGCTCTGGTGAGTGATTATGATACGGTTGTTAATGGGAAATACTACACACATTAGGAGTGTAAGAAGCTGGTTGACATTGCAGCGAGGAAATCTACATGAATTGATGCTTTCATTGGTTTATTTGTGGATGGTGCATGAAAAGTTCTGAACTACAATTTGTGGGCTTGGTTACTGTTGTTGAACCAATTTTGTACTAGATTAACTCAAAACATGTGAATGCTGAATGACTTTTTAAAGAGTCCATATACTCTAATTTTGTTAACACTTTAGATTAGGGACCACATATTAAAAGCTAGTTAATAGTAAATGCATAATAAGTGCTTAATTTCATCTTTGTTGGCATTTATAAACAAAGTTGGAGTTTGCGCTGAGGACTAGTGGCTGAAATATGTCACGACACTGAGTTTATAATATGGTCAGTACAAATAATTACTTTTAGAAAATGCATTAATGTTTTAAATATGTCAATAAAACAAAACGATTGTATGAAATAAATATGAATCCTAGTCTGAACCAGGACTAAACCAGAACTGAACCAGGACTAAACCAGAACTGAACCAGAACTGAACCAAGACTAAACCAAGACTAAACCTAGACTAAACCAAGACTAAACCATGACTAAACCAGATCTAAACCAGGTCTAAACCAGGACTAAACCAGGACTAAACCAGATCTAAACCAGATCTAAACAAGGTCTAAACCAGGACTAAACCAGATCTAAACCAGGTCTAAACCAGGACTAAACCAGGGCTAAACATGGTCTAAATTAGGACTAAACCAGGACTAAACCAGGACTAAACCAGGTCTAAACTAGGTCTAAACCAGGTCTAAACCAGGTCTAAACCGGGTCTAAACCGGGTCTAAACCGGGACTAAACCGGGACTAAACCGGGACTAAACCGGGACTAAACCAGGACTAAACCAGGTCCAAATCAGGACTAAACCAGGACTAAACTAGGTCTAAACCAGGTCTAAACCGGGTCTAAACCGGATCTAAAACGGGACTAAACCTGGACTAAACCTGGACTAAACCTGGACTAAACCTGGACTAAACCTGGACTAAACCGGGACTAAACCAGGACTAAACCAGGACTAAACCAGGTCTAAACCAGGTCTAAACCAGGTCTAAACCAGAGCTGTGGCGAGGCAACCCCGCTCACAGTCAAAATTTTTTTGTATTTTTAAGCCATAAAACCACCTGTGATTTAATAAATGTAAGGTAGAACTGTTTAATGTCATATTGTGGAACATTTCAGGCAGAGCAATAACGTATCCATAGAAGCAGGTGACAGACCCCCAACCAAAAAATTACATCGTGCTCCTTTAAAGCACAAAGTAAAAAAAAATTTAAATAACTCTAAACATGAATCTCCTCTTCCTTTTTCCAGGTGATTTGGTTTCCAGGGCGATGCACCACATGCAGAGGCTGAGCTCGGTCCGTGCGGGGCAGAGTCCGTCTCGTCACGCACGCCCTCAGCAGCCCGTGTCCTGGTCCCCGGACGCCCTCCACACCCTCTACTACTTCCTGCGCTGTCCACAGATGGAGTCCATGGAGAATCCCAACTTGGACCCTCCACGCATGGCACTGAGCAAAGAGAGGTGGGAGACACACTCGGAAACACTTTAAATAAACAGCACAACAAACTGATCTAATCTCTCACAAACTGGTGGAAGAAGTACTCTGTTTTGTTACTTGAGTAAAAGTGCAGATACCATAAAAGCATCACATGAAAAAGAACTAATTAAGTAAAAGTATTAAAGTATCAGTCCATTAAAAATGTAGTGGAGTGAAAAGTACAGATACCTGCTCTCCAAAGTAAACAGCAGGGAGGGTCATAAGCTTTCCTGCATGGATATGTTATTGTCTGGAATGCTTGACAGTATATTACGAAACTTTCTATCTTCATGGAGACAAAACCAGACCAAGTTACAGGTCAGATCTGTGGAGAGACAACCTCGCTCACAGTCAGAATGCCTGTTTTTCTAAGTATTTTTGAGCAATAAACCTAGATTCATCAGCTGGTTTCACTTTGTGGAAACCGTCCTCTGACCTCGCAGCATTCGGATTTGTTTGTATATTTTTTTTTTATCTAACCAGTCGCTGCTATTTGGTCGAGACGTATGTAAAGCGTCGCTAACAGGGTTTAACTATATTAAGCTTTTCCCAAATCGCGTAGGAAGTAGGGCAATAACGTCTTTCCCCTTGATAAAATTCACCAAACATTCTCTTTGTTCCGGCTTTAAATCCTCAATCTCGGGAATCATTGCCAACACAGAATGTCTGTTTTCATCTACATCCATCTCGATCGCTTTGTTTACTGTTGTGCTGTACCACAAAAGGGACCCAGTCCTGTCTTCACAGCTCTTCGCTGATTGGCCAGTGCGCAGTCTACAACTTCTGGTGTTCTTGCAAACCTTCTAGTGTATTCCGATTCCTGACCTAGTTACTGGTCAGAAATGAAATTGAGCGGAGGCACTAGGTGGCACCAGCCTGGCTACAATAAACCATCTGTACTTGAATAAATGTAAGGTAGAGCTGTTTAATGTCATACTGTGGAACACTCTAAACGAAGCAATGACATAGCCATAGAAACAAGCAGGTGACGAACCCCCAACTGAAATGTTACACAGTGAATCTTTAAGTGCAAATATCAGACCAAAAAAATATACTCAAGTAAAATGATCAAATGACAAAAATGACTTAAGTTCAAGCATTACAGTACCCATTGTACCCAAGTAAATTTATTTTGTGCAGAGTTTGAGGTTTAATAAAGTTTCAAATATACTGATTTTGAACAGAATTTTGTCCAACAGAAATTGAATTAATGTTTTTTTATGAACGGATAAACGGGAAAGTTGATGAGAATGTTGAGTCTGAAAACTGTTGATTTAAGAAGTGCTCAAGTCTTTTATTCTTCCCCCACGCATACAAAAGCTGTGAAGTAGTAATCTAATATGTATTTACTTTTGATATACCCAATAGAAAAGATTACCAGGCAAGTTAACGCAGTATATTTGAGAAAAGTGCTCCCAGACTCCCTGCACATCTGTGTTTGTAAAGTATTCAGACGTGCTTTTTTCGACACGAGTTCATGTTAAAATGTCATTGGAAAGTGCTTGCATATGTTCAAAGGTTAATTACACTTTTGAATTGATGTATGCAGGCCCGTCTCAAGGTAACACTCAGGGACATGAACGCGGAGCAGTGGCTGGATTGTGAAAAGACCATGTGTTAGTGATTGCAAGAGTAGGATCAGGGGTTTTGAAAGGTAATTGTCAATGGGAGGAAGTAGATAGCAATTTTGTCATAGTGTTTTGCTTATGCCTACTGGGACTCTTACGCAAGGAGAGAGAGTCTTAGAGACAGAGAGCGTTTCATAAGGTTTACTGGAATAGTTTGGATTGCTAGATTACAATTTACAGTGAAAATTATCAGCATTTATTTTTTATCTATGTAATTTTATTGTGCAACTTGAATGGCCCATATTACGCTATTTTCAGATTTTTGTTGTAATGTTTTCTCTTCAAAAACATACCCGGGATTGTGTTTTGTTTCTTTCACACACGCTGAAATATCGATATATCGTATTGTTTAATGTGATAATACAGTATCGATATCGTAGGCTGCTGTATTGATATATCGCCAAGAGTATTTTTTGGTATATTTTAGTAAATTATTTTGTTTCAGAGCTACAGTTTTGTTGCTGGTTGAGAAGAAAGAAACTCATTTATGCAACAGATTTGACGTTTTCACAATTTTTTGAGTAATATGGGTGTGTTTCAAATTCACTTTGCACAAGAGGTGGTTTAACAAACACTTTTAGTATCACAGCCACGATTTAGCCTTTATTTTTATTGAAGTGTGTTGAATCGAAAGTGCCTTGTATCAAGAAATGTATCGTATCTGCAATTTCTTAATGATACCCAGCCCTATTTAACACACAAATGTCCCATATTTAGGCTGTGTAAGACGCTGTGTTACACCTTGTGATGTCATGTGATAAAAGACAAAGTGCTCCACTGTGTTTTTAAACTCCATACACCTTCACTAGAATCATTTGGATAATTTCAGCCCTGGAATTCACATCTCTACTGAATTAAAAGTAAAAGGTAGCTGTCAAATGAGAAGATAAAAGAGTGCGTTTTGAGCTTTGGAGATGTAGACAACTCAGTAATTACTCAACAACATGTACATTTAGTTATTCAAGTTTATTTTTTTTGGTCAGTTATCACAATCATAATCATATTACAGTGAATTAACACAAAAAAATATGCATATCACTGAAGTTTTTGCACTTATTTTACCTAACTCTATTAACATATAGAACAGGATACAAGACGGCAGAACTATTTACAGAAAACAACACAAAAATCATCAAACTTTATGAATGCAGGAAAGAATATGTAGTTAATTCTTTTGGTATACACAATATAGACGCACAGTCCAGTACACATAGATATTCATATGAAATAAAACACAACTCCAGGTATGTTTTTGATGAGGTAACAGCATTCAGAATGGCTTAAAGCACAGGTGGCATCCGGCCCTCCAAGAGTGGCCCTCAATTTTGTTCTGTGGTTTATCACAGCAGTAGCGTCTCTGTAACCAAGCAGCACAAATTTAAACTCTCTTAAAGGACGATCGTTTTGACTGTTGACTGTGACACCCTCATCAGAAAAATGTCCAACATGAGAAAAGTGGAGCAGAGTGCAAGATTTTACAAGAAAAAATGACTTATTCCAATTTGAATACAAGTTCATGTTAAAACTTAAATTACAAATTTCATGGAAAGTTTATCAATTAAAAAAAGATTTCTGTAATAGATTTGTGTTTCTGCACAAATATTTGAACTTAATTTTGAAGTGAAGGCAGAACCCCCTGGTAAACAAAGAAAAAACTGAAATGGGCCCTAAATTAGTATGACAGACTTTTAGTAACTTGTGTGGTTGAGTTTTGCTTTTATCCTGTTTGCTCAAATCCTTTAAAAAATACCAGACAATAAGGTGTACCTAATAAAGTGGCCAGTGTGTCCGAGTTAGAGAATATACGTTTCCTATAGCTTTCCATATTACTCCCATGCTGTCTCCGTTTTATGCCTACTGTATATCACGAGTTTTATTCCCAAGATGAAATGCTTTGCTGCTTGTCAACATCTGCAACTTATAGACTTTAATAGAAGAAGCAGCTGCATTTCGTATCTGCTTTCTACTGTTGTGGCAGAGCAGGTAGTGGAGTAGAACGGTGCAAAACCTGGTAGTGATTACAGTTTGTGGGTGCTGGTAATGATGAAGGTTTTTCTCTCCAGTCGGGCCTCTTTGCATCTTGGCACATTTTCGCTCTATGTCTCTCCCTCCCTCCATCTCTCTCTCTCTCTCTCTCGTTCTCTCCTTTCTACTAAAAGCTTTATAGAATCTATGGTTATGGTGTGGGTTCTGGTAATGATGAAGGCTTTTCTCTGCAGTCAGGCCTCTTTGCATCTTGGCACCGTCTCTCTCACTCTCTCTCTCTCTCTCTGCCCATGTCTCTCTCTATGTCTCTCTCTCATTCTCTTTCTTTTTCCCTTTGCCTCTCTGCCCTCTTTCACTATGACTCTCCCTTTCTCTTTCTCACTCTCTCCCTCCCCCTTTCTCTTTCACTCTCTCTCTATCTATGTCACTCCCTCTCTGCCTCCCCAATCTTTCTCTCCTCCTCTCCCTCTCTACCGCTCTCTGCCTCCTTCTTTCTTTCTTTCTCTCTCTCTCTCCCTCCTCTCTCTCTTTCTTTCTGTCCCTCCTTTCCTCTTTCTCCCTCCTGTCTCTACCTGCCCTCCACCTTTCTCCCTCTCTCTCTCGCTCTCTCTTTCCTCTCCTTCCCTCCTCTCTCTCCCTCATCTCTCTCTCCCTGCCCTCCACCTTTCTCCCTCTTTCTCTCTCCCTCATCCCTCTCTCTCTCTCACTACCTGCCCCCCCTTTCTCCTGCTTTCTTTTCCCCTCCTTCCCTTTCTCTCCATCTCTCTCTCTCCCTCCTCCTTCTCTCTCCCTCTCTCCTCTCTGTCTCTGCCTCCTTCTCTCTCTCTCTGCCTGCCCCCCACCTTTCTCCCTGCTTCCCTTTCTTTCTCTCCCTCCTTCTCTTTCTCTCTCTCTTTCCTTCTCCCTTCCTCCTCTCTCCCGCCTTTCCTCTCTCTCTGCCCTCCAGTCTTTCTCTCCCCGACTCTATCTCCCTCTTCTCTCTGTCTCTGCCTCCTTCTCTCACTCTTTCTCTTTCTCTCTCTCTCTCTCTCCCTGCCCCCACTCCCCCACCTTTCTCCCTCTTTTTTTCTCTCTCCCTCTTCTCTCTCTTTGCCCCAGTCTTTCTCTCTCCTCCTCTCCCTCTCTACCTCTCACCTCTCTCTCTCTCTCCTTCCCTCCTTCTCTTCCACCTCTACTAAAAGCTTATAAAATTTATGGTGGAAACCTCAAACCACCAGAAACTGTGTGGCCCAGATCGTCAAACACTTCAGGCATGTTAGAATTATTTTGGGAGACGCCCTTTTTTAAGACCCTGTTTAGAGTCGGCAATTAGTTAATAATAATATATAATACAGGATTAAATCACATGTAGTGTTTACATTTTACACTGC